GAGAACTATTTTAAAATGCTTAGGAGTGGAAGTTGGGGAAATGCCTCAGAGGTTAAGAGCACTTGTTTCTCTTGGCTTTTTTGTTCTGTTTTTGTTTGAGACAAGGTCTTCCTGTATAGCCCTGTTGTGGGCTCTGCTTAAATTACTCAAACACCAGATCAATGTAGATGACAATAATTTACTGTAACCAAGCCATTACTGATTGATCAGGGTTGCAGAACAGACTTGGGAGGACATTGAACAGCACATTTAAAGGATGAAACCATAAAGTGAGGGAGAACGGGGTGGGCTGTAGCCTTGTCCAGCCATATTTTGACATAAGGGCTTGAGCAGGGGAGTTTCCATCAATCAAGAAAGGAGCTGGTCCCTGGGCCTGGGAAAATGAGCTTAGTTTGATCCTGCCAGCAAGATGGAGAAGTTGTCTTTGAAATGGCTGGATTCAGACAACTGTCTCCTTACAGGTTATCCCTGAGATGTCTGGACTCAGACAACTGTGGGGTTTTGTTGTTGTTGTTGATTTTGGTTTTGTTTTCCTTTTACAACAGAAGCTGTTCGGCTGTTGGGAAGTCCCCAGCTCCCCTGAGAGAAACAGGCCTGACAGCCCCAAAAGACACTAGGAACTAGTGACCTCCCCCCCACCTCCACCCCACAAAGTCACCAGGAATTAGGCCATATGTTAGCAGTTCCAGAAACAAGGTCATAACATTCCCTACCCAAGGAATAGCCTGAGGATAACCACAAGAATGGGAAGGTATCTCATACCCGGTTCTTGCTCAAACCCCAATAAAAACCCTGCAGCTGCTCAGGGCTCTCCTCTCTGCGTTGATGGTAGAGAGACCAAGCTTAAGCCTGAATAAAGCTTTTTGTTCTCACATATGTGGTCCAGCTCCTGGTGGTCTTTGGGGACCTTAAGATCTGGGCATAACACCCCCAAGGCCTGGGACCTTAAACTTAGTTTCTTCCCATGATTAAATGGAGTCTGAAAACGAAATGGTAATACTTAGAATAAGTTTCTTTTGTTTGTTCCCAACACCCTGGCTACCCTGCAAACTCAACCACATAAACCAAGGTGGCCTCAGACTCATAGAGATCCACCTGCCTCTGCCTCCTGAGTGCCAGGACTATAGGTGTTTGCCACCATGCCCAGATTCGGTTTCCAACACCCAAATGGTGACTTCCAACCTATTCATCCCTCTAGCTCCAGGGGAATCTGACGGCCTTATCTCCTCATCTGGGATAGACTCACAAGAACATGAGTAAGTACAGTGTCATGAGACAGTTTTGAAAGAAGCCACATTGGGCCTAGCTAGATGGCTCATCCTGATGACCTGAAGTATATGAGTGATCTGTCTTCACACACACCCAGAAAAGGGAATCAGATCTCCTTACAGATGGTTGTGAGGCACCATGTGGTTTCTGGGAGTTGAACACAAGACCTCTGGAAGAGCAGACAGTACTCTTAACTGCTGAACCATCTCTCCAGCCCCATGACCTGAGTTCTCCACAAGGAGAGAATTGACTTCTGGGAGTTTTTTCAGACCTGTAAAGGCTTATTTCTTAGGGTCTTCTTGCTATGAAGAGACACCATGACCAAGGCAACTCTTATAAAGGAAAACATTTCACTGGGGATTGTTGTGGATGGAAAGATGTTTTGTTTTGATCCCAGGTGTAGGATATGGGACTGATTCATATTGTCTACAGCAAAAAACTATTTTCCTAGTGTTCTTTGAGAGGGACCCTTGCCAGCTGCAGATAGTTTAAATCTGCGGACTCTGGAGAGGGAATAAATGCCAGGGCCCAGAGAGAGAGCTTTGAGAAAGAAGAAGCCGGCTGATGCTCCCCCTGCTGCCCCTGGTTGCTGTTGATACAACTGAATGAGAAGTTGGGAGATACCCTGAAACGAAGACTGGACTTCCCCCAAGGAACCTAAGGACCCTAGCCAGCAGGAAGTAGCTAAAGAGAACGCTGCCCCCTCTCTCCACTAACCTCCTTTCTCTCCTACCCAGTATTGGGGTGTTGGAAGGGATTGAGATATCAAAGGGAGGAAGAGGCATAAGAAACTCCAATAAGGGCCTGGAGAGATGACTCAGAGGTTAAGAGCACTGGCTGTTCTTCCAAAGGTCCTGAGTTCAATTCCCAGTAACCACATGGTGGCTCACAGCCATCTATAATAAATATCTATAATAAATGTCTAGTGCCCTCTTCTGGTAAGCAGGCATAGATGCAGGCATAAGACTATATAAATAATAAGTAAATCTTTTTAAAAAAGAAACTCAAATAAAATAGTATAAAAGGTAACACCAACAAGGGCTGGCTTACAGTTTCAGAGGTTTGGTCCATTATTATCAGGGTGGAAAGCATGGCTGTGTGCAGACACGGTGTTGGAAGAGCCAAGAGTTCTACATCTTGATCCACAGGCGGCAGTAGGGTACTTTGTGCCACTGGCCAGACTTGAGCATATGAGACCTCAAAACCCTCCTCCACAGTGACACACTTTCTCCAACAGGGCCACACCTACTCCAGCAAAACACACCTCTTAATAGTGCCACTCCCTATGCGCCAAGAACTCAAACACATGAGTTTTGGACATCTATGAGGTCTTGGTACCTATGCCCCCATTTTAAGAAAGACAGTTATAATGAAGTCCCAGTGTACCATAAGGACTATAGAGATGAAGAGGAAACAGTGCTCGCCAAGGCCAATGAAGCTTGCACCATCAAAGCTGCTGGGGCCTCCACTGTTGCTAGTTCCGATGCACTCATGGGCTGTCACCTTGCATTCCTGCTCTCGTTGTAGAAACACAGGACCCAAAATGTCTGCCAGTGTTGTGTCCTTCAGGCCTGGACTCCACACAATCACTGTGATGCTGGATGGCAAAGGCCATTGCCCCTGCTGCACCCGTGCTGAGAACAAGCTCGCCTGTCAATCTTACCACCCCTGACGCTTTCCCCAGCACAGGCATACCATGAGGCAAAGAAGAGAAGAGCACACTGCCTTCCTCTGGATCTCCATCCAGTCTTCTGACATGACTTCCACCAATGGCACTTAAACAGAAGCCAGGTGGAAAGAATCAAGGGAAAGTTGCACAAGGGTTCCCAGATCCTGCTGTGCACTGAGCATGTCTACCTCAACAGACCCTGAGGTGCCCAGATCAGAGGCTGGGCTTCTGTGGGGTGTTTGGGGTGCGTGTGTAAGTTAGCAGGTGTGAAGCAGGTCTCCCTGCTGTGGATGTAGCTCATCCAGTCCATGAAAGGTCTGAGCGTATATGGGACCGCAGGCAGGAAGCTGAACCCCCACCCCAAGGAAAAAGGAATTGCTCCTGCCTGGGTACCTTAACGCTGAGACAAAGGCTTCCTCCACCCGTGACTGCCTTGAAATGACCCAAGAGCAATTTCAGGGTGTCAAGCCTGCTGGTCCTCAGACTGGGACTGTCTGCTTTCATGACTCTGGACCTGCCTGAAATGACTTCCTGTGTCATGTGCTCATGTGTTGTCTATGCTGACTCACCCTAAAGGTAGCTGGGTTTAGCTCTGAAGTCAGAGAAGCCAATTTATTGTGCACTTGAGTGAGTATGTGTGTGTGAGAGAGAGACAGAGAGAGAGAAAGAGAGAGATTCTCTGCAGAACCTTGACCAAAGCAGGCAGGCAGAAATAGAGGTGGGAACAAAGAGGCCATTGCAAAAGTTTTAGCTTTTCAGGATTCCTTTTCAGCTTGAGGTGGCAGGTTCTGCAAGGAGGTGGCACAGGGACAGCTTTAAAGGTACCATTTCCATCTGCAGGACTGGGTGGAAAAAGCAGAGAAAGATTCTGACCAGAAGCAGCAACAACAACAACAAAAAAAAAATCTGGAAGTGTTGAAAAATATTACATCCTTTTCAGTACAGCATTCAGTCTCCACCCATCTGAGTCATCACACACGAAGCAACGAAAAACAGACCCAGCACTGGGGGAAATGTTCAGTGGTAACTCACCTGACCAGGGAGAAGCCTGGGTTCAGTCCCCAGAACCACAATAAAACAAGGCAAACCACTATGGGTATTTCAAGGTAAGGGGACTCTTGCCATCCACAGCTTCCCTTCCTGCAGCTTCTGTTGCCTAGAAAAAGTACCAGATGGGAAATTCCAAGAATGAAGAATTATTGGGCTACTGAGACAGCTCTAGAAGAGAACTGATAGAATGAATCTATAGATAGCTATAGAAAGGGAATTTACATATATAGGTATACACATTTGGTTAGGAGCCTAGCCTTTAACGGCTGAGCCATCACTCCAGCCCAGGAATTTACTAGAGTGGCTTGCAGGCTGCAGTCCAGCTAGTCCAACAATGGCTGTCTACTAGCAGAAAAAGCCTAAGAATCCAGTCCATGGTATAAGTCAGAATCCTGAAGAAGCAGGCTCTGATGCCAGTGATAAAATGGACTTGCCTGTAAGATTGAGAACAAGCAGGCAGAGAGCCAAAGCTTCCTCCTTTCCTGTCTTTTGTATAGGCTGTCACCAGAAGATGTGGTCCAGATTAAAGGTAAATCTTCCTATCTCCAAAGATCCAGGTTAAAATGGGTCTATCCGGAGGCTGAAGAGATGGCGCAGAGTTTAAGAGCAGATAGAACACTATATACATTAAAATATATATATATATAGTCTATTCCCATTCCAGCCACCACTGTGCCTGTCCTGGGTACGCAGGATGAGGCCAGGTGCTATCCCACTTCTAAGAACACGCCTGCAGCGAGGCCCACACACTAAAGCTCACGGAGATGGGCATCTTCTGGCGAACCAGCCTGGGTGTGAAATGATGGCCCACACCCACTGACCTGTGGGAGCTTGCTCTGTCAGACATGCACCCACACTGCCCACCAGCCATCCCCTAAGCATGAAGGTGCTGCTGAGCCATCCTACATTCTGTCTATCTCTTCCTGTTGGGAGAAAAGGCAAGATCAGGGCAGCTTTGGCTTGTAAAATAAATGTAGTCATTACATTTTCATACAAAAAAGAGTGAGTTGGGCTGGAGAGATGGCTCAGAGGTTAAGAGGCCCAGATGCTTTTCCAAAGGTCCTGAGTTCAGTTCCCGGCAACCACGTGGTGACCCGCAACCATCTATAATGAGATCTGGTGCCCTCTTCTGCAGGCACACTGTATACATAATAAATAGATCTTTTTTTAAAAAATAGTGAGTCTTGCTAATTCAAATGATTTAATTAATTAAGAAAAAAAATCATGGCTGTTTCCTGCACAGGAGGCAGCCAGGGCGCCCAGCCAGGACGGCTTGATCCTGAAGCCCCGCTTCCGCAAGGATTTTCAGTGGCCGTTCAACCAGCCGGCACTCAAGATCCGCCTACACAAGGCCCGGCAGGCGCCACACTGCCCCTCATCTGGTCCCATCAGGCCCATAGTGAGGTGCCCTGCAGGTAGACACCATGCTGAGGTCCGAGCTGGTGAGCTGGCAGGGGCTCCAGCGTGGGTGGAAGAACTTCGTGTGTCTGTTATCCCTAAGAAAATGGTTCGCTCCATCGGCATCTCTGTGGACCCTAGGAGGCGAAACAAATCTACTGAGTCACTACAGGCCAGTGTTCAGTGCTGCAAGGAGTAGCTCCAAGCTCATACTTTTCCCCAGAAGACTTCTGCTCCAAAGAAAGGAGATAGTTCTGCTGAAGAGCTTAACTTGCCCACCCAGCTAACAGGACCTGTGATGCCCATCCGGAATGTCCACAAAAAGGAGAAAGCCAGAGTCACCACAGAAGAAGAGAAGAACTTCAAGGCTTTTGCCAGTCTTCGCATGGCCTGGGCCAATGTCCAGCTCTTTGGCATCCAAGCAAAAAGATCAGAGGAAGGTGCAGAGCAAGGTTTTGAAAAAAGCCATAATGCGCTATTGGAATGTTGTAACACATTTTCTATAAAGCAAAGCAAAAGAAAGAAGGGGGGGGAGGGAGGAAGGAAGAGAGGGAGGAAGGAAATCCCTCTTTGTAAGAGGTGTACCAGCCTCTTGGATTCAAGCTAATTCCAGATGTATTCAAGCTGACAACTAAAAATAGCCATCACACCATCCCTGAGTGGAATTTTGCTGCCACCCCTGCAAAAGGAGGTATAAGTCAATAAAACTCAAAACTAGAATAACAGTTAAAGGAACTTATCATGACTGTTTGGGTATTTCAAAATTCCCAAAGGGACCATTGGAAAAAGAAACTTAAAACAGAGTATATGTAACTGGACCATTGATTTAAAATTCAAACAAATGGGAACTGAGCTGTAGTGCAGATCTCAAACAGGCCTCCTTATCCTGTGTGGGACATGGACATATCCTCGTCTTTTCCCCAACTGGAAAGGGCTTTGTTCTTTGAGAAATCTAACCCGTTGGGTTGACAGAGCATGGGGAAATGAATCATGTACAATATTAGTGGGGGTTCACAGAAGAATCAGGAGAGCCCCAGTTCTCATCCCTCTAATAACAGGATTGGAAATTACAGAAAACAGCAGCAATGGGACTAGCTGGAGACTCATCTTAAATATTTGTCAATACAGGCTACATGTTATACAATATGGAAGAAATATCTCAACGAGATACCCTCACAAAAGTAGTTGCTTAAAAGAAGGGACTAAGTACATTTCTAAATGAAGAATACTGCTACAATGGTTATAAATCAGAGATAGTTGGGTATATGGTCAAGTGATTAAAGGGGACATAGCCAGAAGAAGAGTGGCATTAGACATGTCTTGGTCCAATGGAATAACAGCAGTTATCAGTATTGAAGAGCCTGGCTGTGGAGGTTTGAATAAGAATGGCCCCCATAGACTCATATATTTGAAGGCTTACTCACCACTCTTTAAAAAGATTAGAAGGATCAGGGGGTGTGGCCTTGTTGGAGTAAGTGTGGCTTCTTTGGAGGAAGCCTGTCATTGGGGATGGGCTCTGAGGTTTCAAAAGCCCAACCCAGGCCCAGTTTCTCTCTCTCTCTCTCTCTCTCTCTCTCTCTCTCTCTCTCTTTCTCTCCCCTTATGGATCAGGATGTAGAATTTTCAGCTCCTTCTCCAACATCATATCTGTCTAGGTCCCACCATTTCTCCCGCCATGATGATAATGGACTAAACCTCTGAAATTGTAAGCAAATCCCCAATTAAATGCTTTTTAAAAAATAAACGTTGCCTTAGTCATTCAAGCACATAGGTTTATGGGGGCCACAGCTATTCACACCACCACATCTACAGTCACCAGTTAGGTGTGAGAGGCTAGCTCCAGGGAGACAGAGCCCTGCATGTATGTGCATGCTCTATCTGCATGTGCAGCTGTGTGACAGAAGAGGACATCAGATCCCAGTAGAGATGGTTGCTAGGAATTGAACTCAGGACCTCTGGAAGAGCAGACCATGCTCTTAACCACTGAGCCATCTCTCCAGCCCCTCTCTTGATCATTTTGTATCATCCCATCACACACTGAAACTTTTTTTCTTTCTCCCTCTTCTCCCTCTCCCCTTTCTTCGGTGTTGAGAAAGGAATTCAAGGCTTGGTGCATGTTAGAAAAGCACTCTACCGGGGAGCTATGGGACCCCTTCTTTGCCACACCTCAGCCAGTCTTCACCCAAGGCACAGGTCTAGACTCTTGAGATTCTGTGCCCAGATAACCTGTGCCCACTCTCAGAGCCTCTGCGGCCAGTATACCTAGCAACAATAGGAGTCAGACACAGCTGTTTGTAAGGGCTGCCGATGTGAACCTCTGAACCAGTGTGAGGCGTGCAGGAGCAGGTTGCCTCACAGTGCCACATGTGGGGAAGGATGGGAAGAGTGCAGGAATCAAAGTAGAGATGCCCCACTTAGGCCTGGGGAAACCAGGCTGTGACCTCCCACCCTGCAGATGGACAACCAGATGCCCACTTCTTCCTGTGCCACCAGCAGCCCACAGCATGCCTAGGGGAGGCCCACAGCCCTACAGCCTGTCGGTTGGAGGGACAGGTCTGTTCCTTCCACCAGCAGCCACACCTCACCTTCTGATCCTAATCTCAACTCCTGCGGGGATACTGAGTAAACCTAGCGTGTCCACCCCTTATCTCTGTCTTCCTGAGGCCTGGGAGACAAAAGAGAGGCCTTTCCTAAAATGCTCAAGCTTTCCAGGCCTGCCCCAGTGGCAGATGGAGGGAGGCTGATGGGAGTGGGTGCAGAGACATTAGTGAGAGAAAGAGCCCAAGTTGGCGCTCTCCAACAGGTGCCTCCCCTCAGAAGTCAAGGAAGAACACAGAAGATGGGGAGGAGGAATTATGGAAGCTAGAGGGGTAGGGGGCAGCTGGAGAGTATGGCCCTCAGAATCAGCAAAGCAGGCCTCATAGGGGCTCACAGAGACTCAAGTGGCAGTTGCGGAGCCTGCATGCTAATGCTAGGTCCCCTGTCAGGAACAACATGGTTGTGGAAGCAGCCGCTTGACACAGTTCTGCTGCTGGAGCACTGTCACCCTGGAGAAAACATCTCTGGCTTACCAGTCCACAAATACTGTCGCTTTTTCCTAGATGCCTGCTTGCTTTGTTTCTTACTGTGACTCCATCATTTTCCTCTAACTCAATCCTAGTCAATGCAACTGTTAAGATTTCTAGGAGTTCTGGATTTGAAGAAAATGGCTCAGAAACAACCACTATGGAGGAAGCATTCCTCCTGGCTGTAAAGGCAGTGGACCCTGAATTATCTGAACAAGAAATTGAATCCATAGAGGCCTTTTATGCTAATTTTTCCCTGAAAAACTTTAGTCAGCTCATAGATATCAAACAATATCAGGAATTGTTTGAATTTCCACACTCAGCCCCCAGAATGCTGCAGTCGAAAGGAATTAGACCCTAGAGAAGCTACTGGATTCATACTAACTACCTTTTTTAGAAAGACCTGATCACATGGACATGCCTCCTTGGTATAGGATAGAGAAATTACAGGAGCTTTGCATAGTTTATGAGGAAGGGGCTAGAAACCCTTTGAATGATCACTCATATTACAAAAGATGTTTAGAAAAAGCTCAGAAAGAACTTGCTCAGCTACAAACAGCAGTTGAGAATTAATAGTCCAGTTTGTTTAGCACCTCTTTGTTCTTTGCCACTTATTGTAACTGCAAGAGCTTGCCCAGATGACCTATGATGCGAGGTTTGTCTGAGAAGAGCACTGAGTTAATGATTAAACACGCTTGCTTGCAGTGTGGTCGCTGTACCGCGTCTGTAGAGCACAGCTTGCTATATTCTGTTCTGGGAGTTTTGGGGTACAGTTATTGTACCATGTAGGTAGAGCACAGCTTGCTATTTTGTGTTTATCCTCATCTCTGGGTCCTTGGAGAAAAGCTAATATTATGGGGAAAGACAAAAAGGTTTCTGATCATGTAGAAAAAAATATATAAGGAAATGATTTAGCAGTAAAAAACTGGGATTAACGCTCTGCTCCAGAGCAGAGCAAAGAGAGCATGAGCAGACAGCAGAGAGATGGACGCCCAGGAACAGTCTCTCGAAATGAGTCATGTCAGCATGGACCTGCCCCAATGTGTGACTTTTCTCCCAGGCCAATCCAGTCCTCCCAATCTCGACACCCACAGTTGTCTGAGGCTGGTCCCCCGCAAGTCTCCCGCATATATGCTGTGGTTGTTAGCTTGGCGTTTGGGGAGGACTCTTAACTGTGGGAGTATCCTTTACTCTTCTGCCTGCTCTGGGGACCCTTTTCCTCCACTGGGTTGCCTCGTCCTGCCTGCAAACCTCAGGTCTTCTAACCCAAGGAAAACTCTTGTTCTCTGTCCACAAACCTTTTTGTTGGTATTTGTGGTATTGGGGATAAAACCCAGGACCCAGCTCAATCTAGTTCTACTACTGAGCTACACTACAAATGAGGACAACTGGAGCAAAAAGCTCCAGTTCTTTCGTAAACACACACACATTTTGTTTTGTTTGTGGGTTTCATTCTGTTTTGAGACAGATCCTTATGTAAACATGCTGACCTTGAACTCTTCAATCACTACATAGTGAAGGAGGCTGGCCTTGAACCTCTGACCCTTCTCTCTCAAGTTCCTAACTCTTAGAATTAGAAACTGACCATGCCCCACCAACACCCTTTTTACAGAAGAAACACCCATGTTTTTTGCTGTTGTTTTTTGTATGAAGATCAAACCCAGTACCTAAACCGGCCCAGTACGCTACATCCCAGTGGCAGCAGGCTTTCTCAGCCCACCCCAGCTGGGGGCAGGGCAGGGCAGCTCCTGGCAATTCTGTGAACTGGAGAGCTTGCAGGAAGCTTGGGAGGGTCAGACATGTCCACGTCCTCACAGAGATCAGGGGCCAGGACATAGTCTCAAAGAGAGGTGGGTCAGTCAAGGCTCTCCTGAGTCAAGTGCAGGACCCTTCCTCTTATTGCTGGGCAGAGCCAGTCTCCCTCACCTCAGCTTCTGGTACAGATCTGAAAACTCTGCCACATGATGGCAGAAATGCACATGTAGTTTGCAGAAATGAGGGAGAATTCTGCATCTCTTTTCCCCCAGAGCTCCAGTGGCCAACACAGGAGCTTCCTGATTCCTAGCTCCCTCTAAGGTGAAGAGCAAGATCTACCATCCTGATTCTTCCTCTGGGCTCCCCTCCCTGTGCCATACCTGATAGCAACAGTGGGTGCCTGCCTGGCTAGCCTGGGTGTTCTAGTCTGTTCTCTTGCAAAAGGTGATATATCAAGTCCTTCTGACCCTTTAGTAATATTTGTTCATCTAAGACAAGGTCTCACTATATAGAGCCCAAGCTGTCCTTAAACTCAGGGTGTTCCTCCTGCCTCAACCTCCTGAGTGCTGGGACTGCAGGTAGAGCCACCACACCTAGTTTTGAGAATTCTGTTGTCTGTTGTCGGGCAGTGGTGGCTTGCTCCTTTGATCCCAGCACTCCACCTCAGCAGAGGCTCATGGGATCTCTGTCCTGGACAGCCATGGCTACAGAGAAACCTTGTCTTTGAGAGAGACAGAGACAGAGAGAGATAGGGAGAGGGAGAAGAAGAGAGGGAGAGAGAAAAAAGCACCCTGAGGGGGGGGAAAAAGGGTTTATTTGGCTCACAGTTCGTCATTGAGGGAGGTCAGGAGAGGAACTCAAGGCGGGAACTAGAGCAGAGACTAGAGGAACACTGCTTGTTGGCTTGCTTCCCATCCCTTGCTCAGTCTGCTTTTTTTTACACAGCCCAAAACCACCTGCCCAGGAGTGGCCACTGTCCACTGTGGTCCAGACCCTCCCAAATCATTAAAAAAAAAAAGAGAGAGAGAGAGATCCCATAGGCTTGCCTATGGGCCAATCTATCTGATAGAGGCATTTTCTCAGCTGAGGTATCAAGCTAACAAAAACATATAAGCAGCACACATTCGATTAATAGTTCCATCTTTGGGGACAAAATGTTAGTTGGTCCTTATTACTGAGATAGTGGTGTAGAAATTGTAACAATTATTTCTGCAAAGTAGGAGACAGAATGGAGCAAGGACTGAGGGGGGAATGAGGAGAAAGGAGAATGAATGCCACTGTGCTGAAAGCCTGCTGAGGGGAGCCCAGCACAGGAACACAGCTGGGCTGGGCCTCCTCTGCCCTCAGCAATGCAGTACTTTCACACCACATAATCCCAGCTTGGAAGACGGATGAGAAGCTGGAAGGACTCCGAGGAAAGAAGTAAATTGCTAAGTGTGGCGGTTCAAGAATGGCTGACACACCAAAGCTGAAGGAGGAGGAATACTAAGCCCATGAGGTCAAGACCAGCCAAGATCCTGCCAAAATAAAGGGGGAGGGGGCCTTGCTGGGTGTTCTGCAAAGATGAGGGCCACAGTATTTTGTTGTTGTTGTTTTGGGTTTTTTCAAGACAGGGTTTCTCTGTGCAGCCTTGGCTGTCCTGGACTCACTTTGTAGACCAGGCTGGCCTCAAACTCACAGAGATACACCTGACTCTGCCTCCCAGAGTGCTGGGATTATAGATATGTGCCACCATGTCCGCTTTAGCATCTCTCTGTATTGCCAAAGTGGTCTCAAACTCAAGGCACTCTTCCTGCCTCAGCTTTTTCTTTCTCCTCTTGAGGGAAAAGGATACTCTTCATGTCTCCCCTCTGAGCGAACATTTGCTTGGAACTCCTGAGGAGGAGAAGCAAGAGGAGGAAAGGAAGCATTGCCTCAGGGCACAGATAAAATTTGCACAGGCTTGGGCTCAGCCCTGAGGCAGGTCAGGGTGCCCAGCACCTGCCTACTACTACCTCAGTCTTACATCATAGTCTACAATGCATGGAAGCCAGGAAGCTGTGAGGCTATGAGGATCTCTCAGAGGAAAAGAAACTAAAGGAGGGGAAGATTAAAAAATAAAAACCTTGGGTGCTGGTAAGACGGCACAGAGGTTGAGAGCACTGGCTGCACTTCCAAAGATGAGTTCAATTCCCAGAAACCACATGATGGCTCACAACCATCTAGAATGAGATCTGGCACCCTCTTCTGGCCTGCAGGTGTATATGCAGGCAGAATGCTGTATAAATAATAATAATAATAAAATCGTTTTAAAAATACAAAACAAATATGGTTGAGCAAATGTCCTTGCTGTGTACTTGAGCATCTTTTGGATATATGCCTAGGAGTGGTATAGCTGGATCTTGAGGAAGCACTATTCCTAATTGTCTGAGAAAGCGTCAGATTGATTTCCAAAGTGGTTGTACAAGTTTACATTCCCACCAGCAGTGGAGGAGGGTTCCCCTTTCTCCACAATCTCTCCAGAATGTGTTGTCACTTGAGTTTTTGATCTTGGCCATTCTGATGGGTGTAAGGTGAAATCTCAGGGTCATTTTGATTTGCATCTCTCTGATGGCTAAGGACGATGAGCATCTCTTTAAGTGTTTCTCTGCCATTCTATATTCTTCTACAGAGAATTCTGTTTAGCTCTGTACCCCATTTTTTAACTGGATTGCTTGATTTATTGCTTTTTAACTTCTTTAGTATCAAAGCAGATACTGACTCATAACCAAACTTTCGGCAGAATACAGGGAA